TCCTGCTGCCTGGTCCACGTGGATTTTTTTCTAGTTATATTTTCTTTAGATTTAAACATCAAGCAGTTACATGCTTTAAAAAAAATATTGTCAACTATAGTCCCGCTTTATTACTGTGTGCGATGTGTTTTGGGAATAATTGTGTTTATCATATCAATAATGAAATTTTCAATAATGAATAATTTATCTATTGCTTTTTTCAAGTGTTAAGTAGGGTCAAGTGGGTGTCAGTGTAACATAGGGAATATCTCTGCTCTTTTCTCATTAGTCTATGGTCGATCGATTTGGTGAAATAGGGCACTGGCCATTTGACGTCATAAATGGCTAGTGCCCTATTTCACCAAACGGGCATATATCGCATATGTCATATTTAAAACGAAATGGTTTGTTGGGGAATGATGTATTATATCTAAGTTTTTCTTTGAACGCAAAATCAGTGATATCAATGGAGAAATTTATTCGTTGTTTACAAATTCTCCTGAATAAGAACTCAAATTATCAAGCTTTCGCGGAGAGACTGTAAAAAAATCTTACACATCCCGGATTTAATGTCAAGGTGATTGTCATATTGTCAATAAATAATATGACAATCCTATCAACTTAAAAATACCGTTGTTTCACAACACAATTCAATAAATGAAGTAACATAATTATGGAAGATTGTCACTAAATGCCTGTAATTTAGATGACATTATAGTGATATTTCTTTTGTTACACTGTGCCCCTTTTTACACCCAACATGACCCAAGCATGAAAAAGAAGACTCCAAAAAGTATACCTAGAAACATATTCACATATTAAGCAAATACTCCACAAATGTGCTATCAAGAAGAGTTATCAAGAGCTAAAGTACAAAGAATCAGTAGTGAGTGAACTCAAGAGCGCTCTTTGATGATAGCCGAGTTGAGCAGAGCATGTGTCGCGAACTCGCGGCGCGGGCGACACCCAACTTTGATGGAAAACCGCGTAAGTGACGCTGCCAAAAAAGTGTTTTCTTGGCTGGATATCGAACCCGGGCCGCCTGCACGATAGGCGAGCTTTCTACCGCTGAACCACCGATGATTATTGATGAGGTCTGATTTTCTAATAACAATAAATAAATAAAGCGACGTGCTAAAGATGAACGATAAAATCGTGGCACGTTAGAAAGCTATTTCTTGCATAGGACCAAAACTTACTTTCATTACGACGATCTCCGTCGTGATAGTTGTATATTGTACATACACCGAAATACTTCTTCACGAATACGAAAACAAATACTTATTCTGTGATGATTTATTTTAATTTATTAACTTTTAAAGTATTATACACAATGACATTCATCTATGTTTCTTCTTATACCTGCATGCAAAGTCTCAGCCCTATCGGTTTAAAATTGACAAAGTTTCATACAAACTTTCATTCCCTATTTTATCCCCTTGGGGGTAGAATTGATCAAAATCCTTTCTTAGCGGATGCCTACGTCATAACATCTACCTGCATGCCAAATTTCAGCCCGATCCGTCCAGTGGTTTGGGCTGTGCGTTGATAGATCATGTCAGACAGTCACCTTTGAGTTTTATATATATAGATACTTTATTCGTTACCAATATGAATGACAGTATAAATAATCTCCAACGAATTCCTTACTATCTCCCTGACACTTTCAGAAAACGTTAGCATCCGTACGCCAGAATTTTATCGAACTGCGTTACCGCGGGCTTCATGCCAGTCAGTACCACTCAACATGAAAACAGAATGTCGCCTTTCTCTATACCTAAGTATTTATCACAGCAAAGTACTGCGGCGATCTACCCTGAAGGAGTAGGCCCTGGGAGCGTAGTAATTTATTGAAACAACTTTGATTTTATATTGGTTTTATTAGATTTCAGGCGAATATACTATATATGAGTTTAATCTATTTACGCATGGTTTGGTACCTGAAGTCTATATGATGTGGAATCTTCTATCAAAAGACAGACGATTCCTAATTTCAAATATTAACATCATGACATTACCTTTTTAATATAACTGCCAGCCGTAGGCATTACATGAACAAAGAGTTTACCCAAACAAGGAGGCTGTAACGTAATGGACGTTACAGTACCCAACCCCAATTATGCTAAATGTAAGTAGAGACAAGCCGCAAATTCTTTTGATGCAGGAAACTAACATACTGCTCCAACGATCTTCACCCTGTACTCCCAAGGTACTCGTAACCTAATCCTATACCTAATACCCATTATGGTAGAAAGTAAGGATGGACCTTGAACTGTTTAAACTATTTAAATACTTCAAGGCATCCACATGACATTCTGTTAGCTGCATTATTTAACGCTGTTGGCAGTCCCGGATTGAATTTGATTGGTTTTATCCAGTGTTTGTGTTTGTAAAAAGTTTACGTTCCGTAAATGAAACGAATGCGGAAGAACGCAAACTCTGACTTCATCGCTGCTTGTGTTTCTTTCCAAATCCACGTATGAGTTTGTAGAAGGATCTTTTAGAGATTCAGTCGTCTCATAATTTCAGAGTTAGATATCTACGATACGTGTGTTGCGTCGTCTTAAAATTATGGTTTCAAAACAAATGGTGGATGGTACCCACCTTAATTAATGAATTACCGGAAGTTGTTACTAAAGATGCGGCCTCTAGGAATAGTCTTAAGCATAGACTCAATAAACATTACCTATCACTATATCCATGATCAGCTTATTAATGTATGACAAATGTTTAATTTATAGATTATATTAGTTGTTACTCAATCGCGCAAAAGCTACTGAATAGATTTTAATTAGATTTAGCAAGCATATATAGTTTATCAACGTGATTGAGACAAAAAGGATACTTTTTTTATCGAAAAATGTAAGGTTTGGGTATTTATTAAGTTTGGTACTGATAGAAAAGACAAACAATTGTAAATAGGGAAAACAATAAATATAGGTGTCACGGGAACTGCTGCCGACAAACTGCATTGCAGTTTGGCAGAAATATAGATATTTAGTATTTTTCTTTGTGGAAAATAAATTAAAAAAAAAAATATCTAACACATGAAAAAAAAACACTTTTTTCAGAATATTAATCATTTGAATATGATTTTGGCAAGCCAATAAAATGAAACAGTCATGAAACTACACTACACTTGCCACGTTAATTTAGAAGCTATAGACACATTTCTAAGAATAGGAATAGTTAGGTATTCACTTCGCGAGGAAATAAATTAACGGTAGGAAACTTTAGGAAAGGTCCTGAACCGATTAAGGGTACAAGACCAGCTGTTTAATCGGCAACTAATTAATACAATGAATGTCAGGCCTTCAAATCGGCTATAGCGATTTATCTGGACCCAAAGAGCAGGTGTGGACTCTAATAGAAAGTCATTTGTTTACCAGGAGCAAACTTCACCTTGTAACCCTGAAATCTAATTGGATTTAATTCCATTAGCCGAGGTCCGACCGGCCGGTGGCCCGTAATTGCGCCGACGGTTGGTTCATTTGGGGCGGACCTTTGTTTTGTGCCCGAGTAATGGAAAATGCAAAAAGGTCTTATTGGTTTCGTGTTTGATTAGAAAAATGCTTGCGTCCATTTTGGTCCGGCTAATGCGCTCATGCTAAGTAGATTTTGCTGGATTGAACGTACGATTTTATTTCGTTCGCTTGTTGAAGAACGGGAATTTTAAATGTAATCTTACCTGTCATTGTAATAAGTGGTATTACTCCTTTTTAGGGTTCCGTAGTCCTGCCAAGAAAGCCTTATAGTTTTGTCATGTCCGTCTGTCTGTCCGTGCCCGGTTTTGCTTGGAGACTTTTGTGGAGATATGTATATCAGTCACACCGACGAAATTTTGAAAAATATTTTTTTCAAGGTTGCTCCCTTACATGTAACCTGGAAATGATTTTTTTTCATCGTCTACCCTGTCGTGAGGGGTTTCGTTACATAGCTCCTTTTAAATTACTTTGGGGTTTTTAAGACTATTTTTCGATTTAGGGATTTCTTTACGAAGTATTGAACTTTAAATTGTTAATTTTTAAATCTAAAGAAAAGTTTACTAGAAAAAAGAAAAGTTTACTAGAAAACAAACTTTTTTTTCTCTAGTAAACTTTTCTTTAGATTTAAACATCTAACAGTTAAATGCTTAAAAATAAATAAAAAACATTGTTAATTTTTGTTTTGTTTGTTTTGTTCGAGTAGTACGTTCGTCGTCGAGTCGAGAGTAAAAGCTAAACTATTGGTTTGAAAAACCAGGAAAAATTGATGATATTTTTTAAGGAAAATTATAACGATTAAGATAGATTTGTTAGTTTAAGATTAATAGTCCTTCAACTTTCAGTTATTATTCGTATTAAAAATTAATTGAATTAGGTATTTTAGTTGAGATACATAGTTTGACATTATTTGTTTTTTTTATTTATTTTCCCACGCAGAAAATAAAGAATTATGGTCAAATATATTGTGGTAATGACAGGGAGGAGCTCGATGGCGCAGGTGGTTAGCGCGTTCGGCTGCGATCGTTGAAGTTAAGCAACTTTCGCAGTGGTCGGTCATTGGATGGGTGACCAAAAATTTACTATTTCGAGCTCCTCCGTGCTTCGGAAGGCACGTTAAGACGTTGGTCCCGGCTGCGTCTGCAGTCGTTAGCACCCACCAATCCGCACTGGGCCCGCGTGGTGGGTCATGGCCCAATCTCCCTATTCCATCCATAGGGAAGGCCTGTGCCCCAGCAGTGGGGACATTAATAGGCTGATGATGATGATGAATGACAGGGAACTATAAAACCCTTCACTGCGCGTGGCACGACACGCACTTGGCCGATTTTTCCTATTCATTTTAAGAGAATTGTTTAAAACTTTATAAGTGTACTTATCTAATCTTCTATAACTTTGATACCTCGTGTATTCAAATCTTGTCTGATAAGAGCATAACAAGCATTATCCAAACACAATTTTATCTTTTCATATAAAATCTATAGAAAGTTAATACAGCTCACTTTCAATAAGTCAATCAAGACAAAGAGTCCAGTAAATATGTCACCAAACGCTACGGAACTCGGCGTGATCGAGGCGAATTTTCAGAATGGGCATAAAAATGATAAAGGAAATTCTCGTGGCTCTGAAGAACCATTGGCGCTTAAGGTCATACGATCAGTAATGACTCTGTTCACCCACATTTTTATAGGTATTGTGGTCGGAAATGTTCTTAAATTTGCTTTCCGAAATGGTACTCCTTTGTCCGCAACTAATCTACATTTGACGCTTTGTGTCATTGGGGTGAGTAGATACATCAAAAAGTATTATCTTATAACGCTTAAAATAATACTGTTATAAGCTTAATGAAATTTTAAATTAATCTTGCAATTATTTATAAATATTTTGCACCTCAAACAGTTTCATAAATTTGGAATTATGGAATCAACACATGTTCTATGTTAAAAGGTGTAATCTACAAACTCAAAATTACAATAACTGTTTTTTTTTTCTAGTATCATTTTCTGATGGCCGAAGCAATTTTATCTCTATCACCTGACAGTTGGGTTTCATCTCTGAAACTACGACACAAGAAGATCGTTCATTTGACAATGCAAATAATTGGCTCTTTACTGGCTATAATCGGAAGTTTCATTAAAATCGCTGACAAGGAAGTCCACTGGAACACACTCCACGGAAGATTCGGTATGTAACTTTCAATTTTCTAATTCTATGTCGGTTTACAATAATCTCATCTAAAAAGAGTGGTAAATAATCGTAAAACCTGTCTGATGATAAGCTGCCACCATAGCTTAAAGTAGCTTGCGATACCAAAGCTATTACTCACGCCGTTGCCTAGCCTGACCTCATTCCCTAGTCCGTGGAGCCCTGGTACCTTACTGACTGACAGAAACAAAACACCACCAAAACAAAAGACAGTTTTAACTTCAACAAGCGGTAGCTTTAATTTGTCTTCTCTCTTTTAAAGGACATGGCTAAGAAACTGCCCTTAACGTGTATAAATATTTCGCACTAGCCCGTGACTTTACAATATTTTTTTATTAATTATTACGTGTTTATTATTCTCATACAACTTTCGTGAAATAATCAAATATTTAAAAGTATAAAAATTTACTTCATGCCTGTTTAAAAAGCAAATTGTTCCGTTTTACTAAATAAATCAACAATAAATGAACACATACTATACACTATCGAAATAAACAATATTATTTCTAAACTCCTTCAAAGTATGACATATTTGGCCCTAATTTTAATTATAATAAATCGCTGAAGACCTTAAATAATAGATTTTATTATTCTGATCAGGCTTGAGACAAGGCTGTATGATAATTAATCCTTTAATTTTTGCAAATGGACAAAATAAAACTTCATAGATTTCTTGTCAGGCCGACGATAACAAATTAATTGTATTTATTTTTGCTTTAAAAAAACTTTTTGTTAAGAGTTAATCAGAGAAATGGGAAGAAAAATTTCTAAGAAAATGCGTAATGATAACTCTGTAACATCTTTTATCAACTGTAGTAAGGTAATGACATAGTTCTCATAATTTTCAAGATTGTGACTTTATTAAAAGTTTCCTAGTCTTTTTTCATAGAAATTATGAATATTCAGCCATTTACCATTAAATATTACTAAGTACAGTATTTATACATTGTCAGGGCAGTCGCCCATACAAAACTTTACCATGTCTTTTCATTTGAAAATGCTAAACTGATTTACTATCCTTTTCATTGCAGCTCTAGTCGCTTTAGTGTTTACCACAGTCTCTCTTGTAAACGGTCTTGCATCCCTATATGCGTACGAGATGCGGCGGATCATCCCCGGGATTTTATCGAAGCTCTCCCATATTTGCTGCGGTATCGTGTCCTTGGGCGCTGCTTCCATCACCCTCTCCTACGGCTTCGACAAATCTTTCTTCAGGAGCTGGGCCACCTCCGATTTCGCTGATACGCTTATCGTCTTGACCCTTGTCTTTACAGTCATAGTCATCATCAACCCTTTTATCACCTCCTACAAAAAGATTCGTGGGGCTGCTGGATAGTAATTGAAATATTTTTTGAAGAACTGACTTCAAGATGTTTAAGAAACATTTCAAAGTCAACATTTTTAATACCATAATCTGCGTTTTCGATACGTCAAAAACGACAAATGACGTAAATCATTGATATTGATTTCGCTATCGAACAGAGATGTGATAAACTTTGGCTTATAAAAAGTCGTATAAACATTATATAATTTTTAACAGGGAATTTGAATTAGTGTTTATTAACTAGTGTATTTATGAAGATGTAATCATTGTATCAAGTCAACATTTAATATGATTATGCTTGCTAATAAAATAATCTGTCACTATACTGAAAACTCTAACACAGATTCATAAGCTGTATTATATACTGTGAGGTTGTATATTTTTAAGAAAATATTATTTTACTTTACTTTATCTTATGTATATTTTTTTTAACTTTACTTTATCTTATGTATAAAATTGATTGCATCAAAGGTAAAAGTAACTGTTGCAGCAAAAAAATAACTGTAATCTCGCCAATCTCAACTCTTTCCCCTAACTTACGAGCTTAAGAATTAACTAACGAATTTTTGAGTGTAAAATCCATCATTTACCATTGAAGTAGGACACTGCATTTGATTAAGAAGATCCTCGTGACCATGCACCAGAACAGCATATTTTTATCATACAATGTGTGATTCATTTCATCTTTAAGTTTGATGGAACTTTGTTAATTGATGCAATTTTTATTCCATTTCTTTTATCTGTAAACATTGTTCATGATCTGAGTTTATTCTGTAAATTAGGTGATAATAATTTGTGATTTAAAAGTTTTATAATTAAAATCATGTTATTACAACAATTGTTTTATTCCGATAGTTTAAAAAAAGCAATAGAGAAAGGAATGGAAGGATATTTTTCGCGAAATATTGTGTGTTACAAAAAAAGTAGCGCATTATTTGAAGACTAAAAAATCACAATGATATTAAACAATAAAATAACGACTTTTTACAACGTCAATATGTTCTTTATACGCGATAGAGTTATATTCTAGACCATGTTGCAAGTTAAGACATGTCTCGTCGACGTATCTTGTTTAACGAACGCCGATTACAGTGCAGCCTTGGGCGCTACAATACAAACTGAAGCTATTACCCATCCCCCGGACTTCCTGTGTATGCCTTGAAGCTATAACGATATATTTGCTGTAGTGAACTAACTCAGAGTTATGGCTAAGGACATGAACCAACGATATTTAATACCCTAGATACTCGTACAACAACACGAACAAAATCGAGCCCGAAACCTGTCCAAAAGGTACATTGGACGATCCACTGAGCTCCGTAAGAAGATCGCGTTGTCAAAAATAAATATAAGGCGTTATTTGAACATCGGAAGTTACCTTTATTGCATACTGTATAATGTCTTAATTAAAACGCATGCGTCAAAGAGTTATGACAGTTTGAAATGCTGGCTCGTAAATTTTTATAAGTAATTGCTAAATGAAGAATATCGACCTTATTTCTTTGACTCTACGCGCAATTCTGAATGTGCTGCACGCTGATAGCAATATAGCAGGTACGGATCACGGGAAAAGAGACGGCCGTATAACCGATCATGCATTTGAATATTAATAAGCATTATTTTCTATTAAATCAGTTTATAGTAAGTATTAGAATAAAATTTGCTTCAAATGCGTTAAATTAACAAACATTGATTAGATACCTGTCGAAAAAAACGACACTTTACGTAATAGACATTTTTTCTTCGTGTTTTTGACGGAACTCTACGGCCTTGAGTTTTCGTCGGTCCGCATGTGACTGTAAACCAAGAAGTACTTGAGTGGAGTTCAAGCACTTCTTGATTGGGACACATTTTGAACGCTTGTGGTGTATCTAAGGTATTTAATATCGTTGGTAACATGGCTTTGCCATCTACGCACTCGCACTATAATCTCGTCGACATTGACATATCATGTGAACATTACGTTTGTTTGTTGTTAGGTATGTATTTTTACGTCACAACTGCTCTCGTCGCGTTTCAAATATTTTTAATTTCCCACAAGTTTTTCGCAATTGTAAATCATTAATTTTTGCTCTAAAAGCAATTTTATTAACAAACTAGAGGTCGCCCGCGACTTCGTCTGCTTTAACTTAGTTTCTTGAAAATCCCTCTGGAACCTAACATTTTTTCGGGATAAAAGTAGCCTATGTGTTAATCTAGGGTGTCAGCTAACTCCATACCAAATTTTATTAAAATCGCTCCAGCCGTTTAGACGTGAAGAAGTAACAAACCTACACACTCACATACTCACAAACTTTCGCCTTTATAATATCAGTGTGATATAGATAATAACGGTCATTTTTATTACCTGAATTTATAATCAAACTAAAATTCTCATATTTCCGTTTTCCAGTACTCATTTTCTACACGCTTTACATGATTTATTTGCTAATTTTGTTTACAAATGTTTGGTTTTTATTCTAAGATAAGCACGGTTTCTCAATATCAATTATTGTCTGTCAATAAGGTCGAACGCTCTGAACGCATCAACAGCCAAATATTGAATGAAGCTCGCTTTCTTCTTTTTTGTTTCCTCCCAGGCGGGGGAGCGGGTGTGAAATCCTCATGGGTACCCTACAGCCGGCTGTAGGGTTATGTCAGACTCTTACTGACTAAAACACACCCGTGGGGGTTGCCTATGGCCTTAGGGGCCTTACAGGCTTCATCTGATGCGATCAACCCCTGAGAAGGGGATGATGCAGCGCTGCCTTAGTAAATACTACTGCATAGTGCGCTTAGAGGACGGATGCACCCTGATGTGCATCCGTATCGGTTTGGGACTGAGCTACTGAAGGTCTCTCAGGATCGGGAGGGCGGGGAAGCTCGCTATCGGACCTCCCGCCTTTTTATACCCTACCGCGCCGCCACGACCCGTGTCGAGCGCGGCAACCGTTACACAAAAATAATCCTTAAAGCATGATTCAGTATTCACGTGCGACGGCGCGATGGCTTATTTCATGTATAAGTTTGGTGTTTATATACCGATTTCTATGATTCTTTTTTTATTGAATAGGTAATAATGTTAACTTTTTTAAATTAGGGATGAGTGAGAGTATTATAAACGTAAGAGTAAACAAATAGAATCAGAATGCTCCGAACTGCTAAGCTATCAGGAGTTACACGTGTTATTGTGAGTCAACCATAAAAGATAGACATATGCTGTTGCGGCATATTTTTTAGACAATTTTATGTAGAATATTTCCGTCATACACGATTTCTATGTAACTTTAACCATTAAGGCTCCACACGCGACGGAAGCTTAAAAAATGGAGTAACTTCTCAGTTGGGAAAACGGTTCCCAACATTTCCCTTCACTACTCTGCTCCTATTGATTGTAGCGTGATGAAAAGTATTCTATAACCTGCCCAGGAGTATGAAGAATAATTGTACCAAGTTTCGTTAAAATCCGTAGAGTAGTTTTTGTTTCTATAAGGAACATACACACAGACAGACAGACAGACAGACAAAAATTTTACTGATTGCATTTATGGCATCAGTATCGATCACTTATCACCCCCTGATAGTTATTTTGAAAATATATTTCATGTACAGAATTGACCTCTCTACAGATTTATTATAAGTATAGATATTGATGGAGGGATCATTGAATATAAAACTTTTTAAGAAGGTCCAATGGACACCAAAAAAATCTCCAATGGGCACTTTTTGCTTTTGGGTCGAATCTTGAGGGTCCAACGGGTACTAGACCTACTTAAAGGTAACAGAGAATAGATAGATAAGAGTTTAAATAAAAATAAAATGAGGCTTGTTTGAATAACATGCATATTCTCTATTCACAGAGAAAACGTTATGAAAATCCAACATTAAAAGTCAAATGAAGTACCCTAAACCCTAGATATACCACGTGCACTGTGTGCGTGGGACACATTTTGAGCACACGTGGTATCCAGGATATTTAATATCGTTGGCATGATCATAACAATACTTGACTAAGAGTTAGAGAAAAACTGAATGCGACAGCAGCTGACTTGGTTTTGTGTCTGAGTTTAGTTTTAGAAAATAATGTTGTAAGCTATAATGAAACCGAAACTAAATATGTTCCTCTCATGTGACCTCCGTGGTCGACTGGTTTTGTACGCCGGGTTTCATGGTGTCGCCGACTGGAGATGTCCCGGGTTCAATCCCGGTGGGGGCAGATGTTTGTGTGATGAATACGAGCATTTGTATGTATTTCTATATAAATATACTTATGTATGTACTGTATATGTATTCTATCCGTTACCCTAGTATTCCATAACACAAGCCTTACAGTGCTTACTTTGGGGCTAGTTTATATTAATTATTTATTTTATTTTATTACACATAATGATTTATCTCACTCTCTCACAGACAGATTTTATTTTGCCTTTATGATAGCCGATGCGACAATGACCTTATATTATCTATATCGTACTATATGTAAGTGATTAAAGATAAGCAGTGATATTAATATTGTGTAGCTCTTTAATGAAAGTCAATCAACTTTCAAATTAGCTAAAAGTAATATGGGTGGCTGAGAGTTATTATTTTTAATTCCAAAGTCGAAAAAGACAAAATACCTTTATTCAAATTGGTTGCACAATACAACTCTTTTGAATCGTTCAAAGGTTCATTTGGTACCAGGAAAATGAAATAATATGATAATATTAATAAAAGAAGCCTATGCCCCAGCAGTGGGGACATTAATAGGCTGATGATGATGATGATGATATATAAGAAGATAGAGGACATGAACAAGCTCTATTTTATTTATTTATCATAAACAAGTTTCAACTGTGTTTACGTAATATAATCTAATACAAATGTTATGACGGTTCTTTAGCCAGTTATTCTTTTATATGTTACTAGCGGCCGTCCTCGACTTCGTACGCGTGGAGTTAGTTATTTGCACATACTTTTTCGACCCTAAAAGGAGGTTTATTTCTAAAGATACATTATTATGCATACATGTTAAATTTCAAGTCTCTTACTTCAAAAACATAGGACTTGCATACAAACTTCCAACCCCCGTATTACCCCTTAGGGGCGGAGTTTTGTGAAATTCGTTCTTAGCGTATATCTGCAGTCTATAAGGAATGTACCTACCAATTTTTAAGTTCGTAGATGTTATAGTTTCTGATATTTCGTGGTTAACCAGTGAGTGGTATATCGCTGCGACGTCGTCTGCGTGAACGCTATTCGCTATGTGCGAAGTACATGGTGGGGGTATAGTGAAGCGATCGCAGCGCTTATCGTGGCAGAAATACGCAACAATCCGGGAAAGTAAAGTCAATTTGCACGGAGTTCGTAATAAACAAAAATTTTTTAAAATGCCTATTAATAGATGTTGTTGTGTTGTGAATTGCAAAAATAAGGGCACAAATAGTCTGTGTATATATTTCCTACATTGGATTGGAAATCAAATCAAAGAAATAAATGGATAGATGCCATAAAAAGAAATAAGTAAGCGAAATAACCTTAAATTATGATCAATTTTATTTGCGCTATATATTTTATGTGATATTCATTATTGTCTTTATTATTTTAGTGTTGATGGGTCGCCATGGTATCCCAAACCTGACGACACAATTTGTAGTGAACATTTTATGGGAAACAAAAAATCAGACGAGGAAGAAAATCCGAGTTATGCTCCTACGATATTCCCTGAAATATATTGAAAGAGGAAGGTTAATGATTCACAGGTCCTAGCTAGATATACACGCTTGACAAAACGAAGAACCACAAAAGTCTCAGATACCACATCAAGTCAAATAATAATTGAAGAAGGGAGTGAATTAAATCAAACTCAACCTTTTATGATCGATCAAGGATGTCAAGTCAATATGTTTTCTGAATCGAAATTAAGAGATACAACTTTTATTTGTATTAGATTAATTTACAGTGATCACTGTGATGCTGAAATCCAACATCAAGAATTTTAATGACAAATAATTCAAGAAAGAAAGATAAAAGCTGTGGCACTGACAAAAAATCGTATGAGGATCAATCTACCGAAACAAAAAGTCAAGAATTTGTTGGTATTTCATCAATAACAAATGATCAAGAACTCCTAGATCCTTCTGGTGTGTCATTTAGCAATTTTGAGTTTTTATTAACAAGATTAACTATGAAAAAATGTACAGTTTCCACTAAAGACCGACTTCTGATTTTTTTGATAAAAATGAAAACTGGCTTGACATTTTCAGCATTGAGTGTGTTATTTGGTGTACAAAAAAACCACAATCTCACGTATATTTCATTCGATCTTACAAAATCTAGCTTGTTCAACTGCTAATTTAATCTTTTGGCCGAATAGAGCCACCGTACAAGCAACAATGCCCAAGTGTTTCAGTCCAGATTACATCAATACAAGAGTTATTATTGACTGTACTAAATTCCGAATTGAAATCCGACAGTATTTAAATTATTATACAATATATAATAATTTTTATTTATCTTTAATTTACTATATTTACTAGAAATCAATAAAATACAAACTGATGTCATTATTTGGCATAATCCCGGAAAGTTGCGTATTGTAGGTGGCGCTCTGTCGTGCACATAGCGAATACAGCATCAAAAATACCTACGATTATATCTTTTAGAATAACATTAATTCATTCCGTTTCTTAAATCCTTTTAGCATCTCATTTCTTTGCTTCTCTTGAATATTTATGTAAGGATTATCTCCTTTATTTTTTCTTTTGCACCCTTCTATATTTATCTATATTATTATTCCTCTTCCACCATAGGATGCCTGGAAGAGATTGCTGTTTAGCAATAACGCCGCCTATTGTACTCTTTCTTCTGTTTTATTTCTTTATGTCTTGTGTCCTTTGTTGTGTGCAATAAATAATATTTATTATTATTAATTTACCCGTTTCTTCTTTACATTTCATATTCTTCAGAAAGTGCAGTAACGGAGGGAGACTGTCTTTTGTAAAATTGACCTTCAAAAAGTGCTGATTTCCAGTCTGCTTTGAATAAATGACTTTATGGTGATTCTGCTGAATTAAGTCATAAGTTGTGAATGAAGCTGAGAGAGAGAATAATGAATAAGGAATACAGAATAGGGTAAAAAACATACTTATAGGACTTCTCGATAAACAACATTAGTGGTTTGGCTCTCCACAGCAAAAATGTAAAGAGAGTCAGGACTGGTGACGCGGGAGCAAGCGACGTGCAGCTGCCCGTGTGAGAAGCAGCTCGTCCTGAGGTCGACACCCGCTGCCCTCAGTGTCTGGCCCTGCTGATGGCCATCGTGAAGCAAACATTCACGGGGAACTGTACGCGCTGAAACAGGAAGTTATGAGGTATGTGGGGAATACCTGGTATAAATATTGCCTCGCCGACGCCACAATCCGTAAAAAAATCCGCCTCAATGGTGTGTCTGTGGAGCAGGATGACTTTAAGGCGGGTCCCGTTACACAACTTCAGAGGAGATAGATTCCGAAGAAGCATAATCGGGACACCGGCCTTCATCTTGATGGTATGCGCTGGAAGTCCACTTGCTGACAGGGAGTTCAGAAATTCCACGGGATAATGTATGGCGTCATCTTGCTCGACGACAGTGTTTATAGAGGTGTAGACCACTTTATTCCACTCAATTCCCGAAAGAGTATGCATTCGTTAATTGCTGCAGCCTGATCTTTTTTGGGCGTCTAAATGGTTCACACACCCAAGAATTCTGCTGGTGCGGTATACGACTGATTTCCCCGTACACAGAGCGAATGAGTTCTTCTAAGCTGGATACAACTCTACTGTGAGACTGGAAGCACCACCTGTCCACCTCTTTCCTCTGGTAGAGTGCCTTCGCCAAGACTTAGAAGGATATCGGAGAATTCTTGAGCACGTGCATTGCCGCCGAGCCGAGCTCTCATATTTCGTCTCATCGAACTCGTGACCACAACGAAGATCGTTTCAATGTAGCATTCACCTCGTCAGCCCTCGATACCCGCGTCACCACGGGAAGCACTGTTACAGAATGCGTTGAAGAAATACAGGTTCACTGCTGTTCGCTATCACCTACCCCGTTGGTCATATCGTGACAATATGTAGCTTTTATGTTGACCCGACTTCTTGATAATATTCGTGCCAAAGGACATGGCTAAGAAACTGCCCTTAACGTGTACAATTATTTTGCACGAGCCCGTAACTTTACAATATTTTTTTATTAATTATTACGTGTTTATAATTCTTATACAACTTTCGTAAAATAATCAAAAAAATAAACGTTCCGTATTACAAAAATAAATGAACAATAAATGTGTACTAAAAATATTTCTGTCAATATATCGAAATAAACAATATTTATTCAAAACTCCCAAGAACTATGACATATTTGGCACTTTATTTTTCTGATCAGGCTTGAGAGTAGGTTGTATGATAATTAATGCTTTGATTTTTGCAAATGAAGAAAATAAAACTTCACAGATTTCATGTCAGGCCGACGACAACAAATTATTTGTATTTATTTTTACTTTTAAAAATACTTTTTGTGAAGTGTTAATCAGATATATGGGAGGAAATATTCTAAGAAAATGCGAAATTGAAGGCTCTGTAAATAATGTGCAAAATCTTTTATCAAATGTAGCAAGGTAATGACGTCGTAGGAGATCTCATAATTTTCAAGATTGTGACTTTACCCAAGGTTCCTAAGCCTTATTTCATAGAAATTATAAATATTCAGGCATTGTGGATTATATATTACTAAGTACAATATTTATACATTGCTAGGGCAGTCACTCATACAAAATTTTACCATGTCCTTTGAAGTAAATCCATGCAGTACTTTTTGAGATTATCCCGGAAACACATACAGACAAACTTTTAAAAACTATATATTTTTGACTTTGGTATCGATTGTAGAACACACTCCAAGTATTCTTTTAAAAAAATATTCAATGTACAGTTTTGACTTTCATACCATTTTATTAATTGTATAGATTACTTTTATTAGGTTCCTTACGCAAAGGTGACGAAAGAACTAAGACCATCTCTGTCCGACCATCCATCTGTCATCTTATAAATCGTATTAATTACCTAGATAGATCCAATATCGAACTTAAGAATCGTTGTATCAAATGGGACCCTCCGTAAGGCTTGCTTGGTAAACTTATAAATAACTTTATTTATTCAAAGACTTATAGAAATGGTAATTTGGTTTTATTATCACACTTAAATATATACATAGGTCTTATTAAAAATATTTTACTTTAATCTCAAATAACATCACACAAGAAACATGATTCACTTGCCATTCAGATCCTGAACTGAGAGACTGAAAGTTTACTATCATTTATAGTTAATAAACTAAATTATATTTTATCTATAAGAAATTTTCCATTAACTATACAGTTTATATTTTAACATTGTCTATTAATAACACAAACAAACTTCCTTGGTGAAATTGTTACCGTAGAAACAACTGGTCATCACAATCATCAAACCATGTTTATTTTGGTAATACACGTTAATTTTGTCATTCTTAACTGTGAAAAAATCCTTTTCAAAATTATGTACCACAACATGATTACCTAGTGCATTTGATTAATCGTCAAATGTCTTTAAAAATGAATTAATGATAGCAAATTGAAAAAGTACTCACATTATTTCTATAGTACTTGCTCAAATCACTTCGATACGGCCGCTCGAAATTTATTGTAGAAAGTGATGAACGGGTTGATAATGATGAAAAGTGTGAATATTACGGTCATGATGATGAGTGTGTCGGCGACACCGCTGGTAGCCCAAGTCCTGAAGCCATTCTTGTCGAACCCGTAGCAAAGGCTGATGGAGGCAGTTGCGAAGGCGATGATGCCAAAGCAGATGTGCGTCAGCTTAGACAAAGTGCCGGGGAGGATGTTTCGTAACTCGTATACGTATAACGATGCGATACCGTTGAACAGACAAGCTACACTGAACACCATGGCTACCAATCCTGTGGAATAATACATGGATGACAATAATTTGGTGTAAAAAGATCTTTATACTGTAAAACACCACATGTGTGTATTATCAATCAATATAATATCAATATTTTATTATCAATTGTATTTTCCAAAGTATGTAGTGGAAGATGACTTCATGAATTATCTCACATTGACGACGACCCTGTATATAATAATAATAATAGCAAAGAGAACACAACAACAACAATAGTAATAGCAAAGTCACCTGCAGTAGATTTGCGGTTTGATGGCACAGTTTTTCGACACATTTTGGAAGATTACATTAAACGATAATTAAATTGGAATATAACAAAAGAAAAATTTATATGCGTATATTAATAATGCAATATTTATGCAAAATTCAAATTATATAGAAATATTAACCAATCCAGCATTTATTTTTGGGGATTTAGGTTTCTATAATTCAGATTGTGACGTAAAATTACGGATAAGATAACTTTTCACTCGCCATGACGGTTTGATTGTTACGCATCATATAGATTGTTATTTATTATATCCAAGATAATGTTACATTTTGATCAATTAACGTAGCTTATTCGGCTAATTGTCTAACTTGTTATCTAATGTAGACTTCGGATGATATCAAGAGAATTTCATACATTGCTCTTATATGTACCTATTGAAAACGTAACTATTAATTTTAAAATATTTACTTACAACTTTTAAACTACTAACTTTAGGGAACAAACACACAATAATATTTTGTAACTGTAATGAAAATGTAAGAGCATTTATTCCTTGGGATTAGTTGTACTATCGAATTTCACCATAATTCTCTTATCTTAGAATCGTATATGGAAGTATATTTCCAACAACGCTTAATATGGCGTCGTTAAGTAGTGGTTAAAAAAGTAATTTTATTTATAATATTCTGGTGTACTCTCAAACTGTACATTTTGATGTTCTGGTTACTACACAAGGGAATTATAGTGTGAAGGTGTCTTTTGTGTTTGTAAGTGCATTTATTGTTCTATTCCTATAGTGGGTAAGGTCCAGGAGCTCTATTTTTGAATCACTCGTCTGCGTCGAACGCTCGATTTCTACTAAATTTCATTCGACATAATTAATTCCGTATTTTTGAATCGCTCGAGTGCAACGAATGGGTGAGACCACTAGCTGCATGGCGAATGGTGGAGGCGAATGATAGAATAATTGTCAAATTTTTTGTGCGATTTGACGACGATAATCTATCATTGTCATGCTTTATATGAAACGACAACGAGAATTTTTTGTTCAGTTTTCATTGCGGTTTTTATTTTTTTTGCGTGAAATGAGTAAAATTTCATATTTCGTTTTAAACAGGTAACACCGGTGACGAATGATTCAAAAATACGGAAAATCAGTATTATGCGACTTGAAAGTCGAAGGTGACTTATGTCGCATTCGACGATACTATGTCAGACGAGTGATTCAAAATTAGGGCTCCTGAGTCGTAACTGAGTAGGCAACGCTTGTGTAAACTCTCTGGTGTAGCATGCGTCTCTGGTATGATGACTTCTTATATCAGACAAGTTAAAGCTTGTTTATCATTCTTTTCACATTATGAAATTTAAAAAAAGAAACGATCATATAAATTGAAAGGGAAGCCTTACCGAATTGTCCATGCAAAGTGTAAAAGTTGACCTCCCTGGAGAGGCTTTGAATGATGGTGCCGGCGAGGGCTAGTACTGAGCCCAGCACCTGCATGACCCAGTGCACGAGCCGCTTGTGTCGCAGCTTCAGCGAAGACAGCCAGCTGTCAGGCGCCAGCGCCAGGATCGACTCCGCCATCATCAGCTGAAACTGGAATTCACGCAATCGAACCGATTTCTAAGAGATGTACCTCGACTACTAACTACAATACTGAATTGACATAAAATTTTACTAAACAAATCATTGGATCCGATTTCAATAGAATTTAGTTTAAAAGCCAACATTAATTTACTCCAGTGTCAAAAACAGTGGCTATTAGCTAAACAGTTTAAATAGCCTACAATAACCTAGTTAATACTGTGTTGATTAATCTATCTTTCTTGCAGTGTAAATTGAACTCACTATCAACCCCGCAAAAGTTATATGGCGTAAAGCTCTGTGTTTGAATAATATTAATTTGTGTTTAAAAAGACTTACCCCAATAACGCAATATATTATGTGGTGTCTGGTCGGGGTCAAGGGAAGTCCATCGCGCACGGCGAACGCAATAGAAAGTCCAACCACAAATCCTATTAGTACGTGGACCACCAGAGTCGATATGGATCTCGAAGTCTTCAGTGCCACCTGGTCTTTAGGAGAAGAGAGTTCCTGATCTTTTGTTCCATTCTGAACGTTTCCTTCGATGACGTTCACTTCGGAGGCGTTAGGAGACATTCTTCTTTAAATCCTGCACTACTATTTTTACTCTTAATATTATTTTAGGTTTATGATATTTGAAGATAGAATTACATGTACACTTGTGTTTTCGAAATGGGTAAATCAATAGCTTTTTTTCTCGTTATATATAAGGAGATAAACACAACAACGATTCTAGCGGATTATTTTTATCAGAACATGATTGCAAAGTTAATGAGCCAGAAAGTGCAACAGATAGGACTCGTTTTATAAGTCTTTCAAGAGTGAATGTAAAGTGAGTGAATGTGTATTGTATTGTAATATATTTTTTAATTTTACTTTATATTTTTAGTAAGAATACGCAATAAGAAGAATATTCGAAATAGAAACCTACATTCGGATGACCCGATACGCACTTGACCTCTTCATATAAACATTTAGATTTTTAAATCTAAAGAAAATTTACTAGAAAAAAATCCACGCGGACCAGGCAGCGGACGGGACTCGAACCCGCATCCTTCGCAATCCGGGCGAATGCACGAAGAGATGGCGCTGCCTTGCAGCTTAAGGCTAGGAAAATTTCGACGCGGCGAATAGAGCCGTGGTAGCATAATGGTCAGTGCATTCGCCCGGATTGCGAAGGATGCGGGTTCGAGTCCCGTCCGCTGCCTGGTCCGCGTGGATTTTTTTCTAGTAAACTTTTCTTTAGATTTATACATCTAGCAGTTAAATGCTTAAAAAATAAATAAAAACATAACTATAATTGCTATTTCTTCTTTCAAATGTTTAATACTTGATAACGTATTCATTTGACATTGTGGGTTACCTACAATGCGAAGAGATGGCGCTACCTTGCAGCTTAAGGCTAGGAAAATTTCGACGCGGCGAATAGGGCCGTGGTAGCATAATGGTCAGTGCATTCGCCCGGATAGCGAAGGATGCGGATTCGAGTCCCGTCCGCTGCCTGGTCCGCGTGGATTTTTTTCTAGTAAACTTTTCTTTAAATTTAAACATCTAGCAGTTAAATGCTTAACAAATAAATAAAAACATTACATTTAGATTGTTTGATAAAATTTGATAAATCTGATTTAATTTGAAGATTAACTTAATGCAGTTAATATAATGCAATTTCAAAATTACATACATTGAATATTGGTCGAAATTGTGCTATCATCAGCAAAGAATATCATAAATATCTTCTAAGCGTAGAAGATTCTACAATATGATACTATCGGTCATAAAGAGCAGCGGACCTATAACATTGCCCTGTGCAATGTGAACAATACATTTGATGTTTGTTCCGATGAATAATTATTTTGTTCCCGCAAAAGATAAATTTAAACTAATTCTGTGCATAAGTATTTTAAAGATACACTTTCGTTAATTCCAGAGCATTACCAAGAATACCCTATGAGTTCAGTATATCAATAAATACATTATAATTTACATAAACAAAAGCATTACTCATACTGTCCTTAAAGATTACGCGTGATGGCGACTCTAAACTCTAACCCCTTTAGTAATAAACGAAGAATAAGCTTGGATTAGTTACTCCATGTTTTGCTTCTTTACATAGAATTACAAATAGCATTTGGGTGATATGAACAAAACACGGCGTAACTAGTCTAATCTCATTCCTATATAATTTATCAATAAAGGGGAAAGTCATGTATTACACTAGGCCTTAAAAAGCATTTTATTAATTAAGGTGTTCTGCAAAAACCCCTTTGTGCTCTTTTATAAGTACATGTTAGTGATTAAAGATAACTAGTTAATAAAACATAGAACAACTACATTGAGTGAATAGAGGCACTTCTGCTTAGTCCAAATATAGAAATGGTGATTAAGGTGTAATATTTGCAACATCTGGATTTAAATAGCGCTGGAAAAATACAGAATCCAGTTAATCGGGGAACAGAAAAACTGGGTACTTTCATAATTAAAAACAAAAATTAAATTGAATATATATTTTTTATTAAGTGAGTTCATTTTCTGCTTAAAAATACACTTCATTTCATTATAGGACAGACTACGTATCAGTATCACCATCACCATCATCATCAGCCTGTTAATGTCCCTACTGCTCGGGCACAGGCTTTCCCTATGGATAGAATAGAGAGATTTGGCCATGACCCACCAAGCGGGGCCACTGCTGATTGGTGCAGCCGGGACCAACACTTTACATCCCTTCCGAAGCGACGATCTCGTGTTAGTTAATTTTTAGTCACCCATCCAATGACCGACCACTGCGAAAGTTGCTTAGCTTCAAACGCACTAACCAATTATCCTAATCCTAATATATAACACACATAGATAATGTACAATTAATTACTAACTTAACTATGTAACTTACTTTTAATATTCTAGTTTCATTACAGCCTTATGTCGAAGAAGATTTATTTGAATACCTAAAATCTTATAACTAATTTGATTTTTAAATTTAAATATATATTATTATTATGTAATACCATAATTCTTTAAAATGACATTTACATATTTGTTTCTTAGGTTTTCACGCACATCACTCATTAAATAAAACTAGTTTTTACGGGTTAATGCACGAAAACTTTATTTATTTATGACGTTTCGTAGTCTTTACAGGCTACGTCGTCAGAATAAAACTTTTATTTAATTTGTCGAGCTACCTTCGAAAGACTTTTATTGAGCGTTTGGTTATTTCATTGTTCGATTTTTAAGTTTAATTGTCATCATCATCATTGTTATTTAATTTATTTATATCATAAATAAATAAAGTTTTCGTGCATTAACCCGTAAAAACTAGTTTTATTTAATGACATTTACAATTATCATTGGATTACTAGGAATGTTAAACACTGGTCATCACAAAAATCGGCCCACCTTAATTTTATACGAAATCTCTCATTTTCATATTTTGAACGATTCAATTTGTATTATAATCATATTTTTTACTATACAACGTATTTTTTTACAATTTTATTAAAAAATATTAATCTTAATGATCAAATTTTAATCTTTTCTGTTGTTGTCTCATTAGCATCCACAATTGCAGGCAAATATTATACCAATCAAAGTATTAATTAATAAAGTAAGAATCGTCGATAACAATTACTCTGTTGCAAACACCTGGTTGCGAATTAAACTTGGCCAAAGTGAATACTGAGGCATTCATGAAACCGGCACTGGACAGTGCTTACTTTGAAAAAGCTTATTAAGTATCCTCATGTGCGTTAAGATTTATGGGAATCAAATGTCATACATCTTATCCGACCCGACACAAACAAAATATACTTCAAAACGCTCAGCTTTGAAATTATAAAGGGCAATAGAGCAAAAACAGGGTGGGTCGCTTTTTGCGATGACCAGTGTATAAATTACCTGCAATTCAGATCCCACCGAAAGTTTTATCATTAAATGATAAAGCGAAAACTCATTATAATTTTATATTATAGTGAACAATTTCAACGCTATGAAAAATCTTTAGTTTGAAGTTATCGTAACATGTGTTCATTAAATATAAACCCCTGTCCTTGATTCGGAGAAACATATAAATAGTGTTGACGAACTATCGATATCAAAACTATCGACAGTTTACATCGAAAATCATGTACCCTATCGATAGGCCTATCGATAGAATCGATACAACCGATAGTATCGAAACTATCGATAGCTCAGAACAAGGCAATACTATCGAATGAGTGCAATACTATAGATACTATCGATACTATTGTAGTTCGTAAATAACAACCCATTGATAGTATCGATACTACCGATACTGTTGCTTTTATCTGCAACAATACTATCGAAACTATCGATACTAGCGATTGTTTCAGACTAAAGTTTGTGATTGACTATAATACCTGAAAATTGTAAACAATACTATTGCAAATTGTTAAACTATCGTATGTATGTTTGCAAATAAAATCGACAGTATCGATACTATCGATAGTTTGTTATTAACGAACTACAATGCTATCGACAGTATCGATAGTATTTAACTCATCCGATAGTATTGGCTTTTTCTGTGCTATCGATAGTATCGATTCTATTGATAGTATCGATACTATCGGTAAGCCGATCGATTGTCATACGATTGGTTGGCTATCGATAGACTATCGATTAATCATCGATAGTCGACTATCGATCGGCAACACTACATATATATAAATATTTCTGATTAAAACATACACATAAAAATTCTCAATTCAAGTTCTTAAATATTGAAATTATCTTTACTGTACTTTTAATTGTGTAAATGCTAAATATGTATATTGTTAAAGTATGCTTTGAATAATGTTAGTGTAATATTATGATTTCATGAACTTACAATAGGGATGATGACTATTTTTTTTTTCTTCGTGATACCTGATAAAGGTAGATTATCAAAAAGTATTGGACACGTATTTTTTCTTTTTTCACATAATATAAACATTGCAGAGATATATTGATTTGAAAAGTCGCATGACGTCACGTTTGAGTACACTTATAAGTGAAAATTCACTCAAAAGTGACGTCACGAGCCCCTACTCCCAAACTTTGATGCGCTATAACTTTGTCATTTTTTGGTTGATTGCCCAAAGAAAAAATACGTGTCCATTATTTTTTGATCATCTAACTGACGGATTAAATAGAATTTCGTTTACTGTACCCCGTCATCACCCCTATTAAGAAGGTAAGTGAGCAGCACTTGCAGTGCCCGCACCATATTTACACAATTATTTCGAGACAGCCGCTTTAGATTTATTGTAGAAAGTGATGAACGGGTTAATGATTATGAAGAATGTGAAGATTGCGGTCATGATGATGAGAGCATCGGCGACACTAGAGGTAGACCAGCGCCTGAAGCCACCCTTGTCGAACCCGTAGCAGAGGCTGATGGAGGCAGCTGCAAAGGCGACGATGCCGAAGCAGATGTGCGTCAGTTTGGACAAAGTGCCGGGGATGACTTTCCGTAACTCGTATGCGTACAAAGACGTAACGCCGTTCGCCAGAGACGCTACAGAAAACACCATGGCCACCAGCGCTGTGAAATAAAATAACACATACAAGATCTAATAATATGAAAAGTCTTGCAAAAAAACAGCAACTTAAACTAACTTATTTTTCTTAATTGTTTTGATTTTTCTCAAACATTAAAAAAAAGCCCTATTATCATGTTTTTTCAGATTTTAAATAGTTTAGCTTTTTGAGATGTGGGACGCCCTTCTCGAACCAAAAATGTTCACTTTAAAGTTTTTTATATCGTCATTTTTAAAGGAATCATTCAAAGATACCCCACGAAAAAAAATCATCCCCACTTTACATGTAAGGACCTCCTCGAGCCCCTCCGTGCTTCGGATGGCAAGTTAGATTCGGCTGTATCTGCAAATGTTAGCACCCACCAATCCGCAATGTGCATCATTTTTTTATAGATAGGTCCGACAAATGACTCCACCCCACTTGATGTTAAGTGAAGGTGAAGTCCAGACGCAAAGATAGCTTATACAGCAGTTCTACCTGCCACACCAGCCATCCTCACCCTGCCGGCCTGCATGTTGCTTCTTCACGCCTCTTTTAAAGGATCCCAGGTTGTAAGAGGGAGGGAACACGTGAGCGGGCAGAGCATTCCATTTACGGATAGTGCGACAAAGAAATGAGTCTCCAAATTTCTTTGTACGTGTTGGAATTGTGGCCACAGTTAGACGGTGACAACGTAGGCCAGCGCGCGTGGTCCTCTGAAGGAAAGGGGAAGGTGGGATAAGAGAGAATAACTCCTCATGACCTAATCTCCCTATTCCATCCACAGGAGGGCCTGTGCCCCAGCAGAGGGTTATTAATAGTCTGATGATGAGGGTAACCTTACCGAACTGTCCATGCAAAGTGTTCCAGTTGACCTCTTTGTCCAGGCATTTTATGATACAGCCGACGATGCCTAGCACTGAGCCCAGCACCTGCATTACCCAGTGTACAAGCCGCTTGTGACGCAGCTTAAGCGAGGAAAGCCAGCTGTCGGGCGCCAGCGCCAGGATCGACTCCGCCATCATCAGCTGGAACTGGAATTTAATTATTTTTAAGTTAAAATGGTAGCAAACAAACAGATAGCAGCATCAGACTTGACACCAAGCAGCCACCTTGAGATACAACAAATATCGCTCCGTTCCCTCTTCATCAGCCTATTAACGTCCCCACTGCTGGGGCACAGGCCTTCCCCATGGATAGATAAGGAGATTGGGCCATGACCCAACCACGTTTGCCCAGTGCGGATTGGCGGGTGCTAACGACTGCAGATGCAGCCGGGACCAACGGCTTAACGTGCTTTTCGAAGCACGGAGGAGCTCCAGATAGTAAATTTTCGGTCACCCATCCAATGACCGACCACTGCGAAAGTTGCTTAACTTCAACGATCGCAGCCGAACGCGCTAACCACTTGCGCTATCGAGCTCCTCTGCCGTTCCCTATCCTGACCCAATGCCCTACTCCGGGGAGCCATGGGACCTTACACACCGACAGAAACATAACACCGCCAAAAGTTAGTATTATTTTACTGTGGTCTTCTGTAAGGTGGAAATAACTTCCTCATACGGGCGTTCCAAGCCTTAGATTAAAACAAAAAGGGTAGATACGGCATTAGCCTCACAAAAGTGATCCGCACCAATTGTGGTCCACGACCCTAATCGCTTTAGTCACAACTTGGCATGCAAACGACGTACATGTGAACGTCAAAAAGAAATATTGCTAATATTTTGTGTTTTTATGATAAAACAATCCCTAAGTGTGTTTTTAAAAAGTAGTCAAATTGCTCAAGAACTAAAAATAAAACCCACGGCATCACTTTTCATTCGTAAGTACTATAAAATGTAATTTTTCATAAAAATTGATGTTTCTTTTGAATCTTATTCGGTAGTGACATCGAGTACTGTTCGCCTGATTGGTCGGTAATGCAGTGACGCGGATCTCGCCTTCTCGTTTGCGTTGCCGTTGAAACTTAACGTGCTGTTTCGTTCGGGTCGGTAATGCAGTGACGCGGATCTCGCCGTCCCGTTCGCGCTGCCGTGGGATCAGTTTTTGTTTGATGCAAGTATGAGCGTACTGTATCTACCCTTTCTGTTTTAATCTAAGTTCCAAGCCCCGTTTCCAACTCGTGCGGAAAATCCGATATGCCCTACCTCTCAATTTATGCACTGAAAAAGATGCAGGTCCATTATACGAAGAATTGGTGTAACTACCTCTCAATTTATGCACTGAAAAAGATGCAGGTCCATTATACGAAGAATTGGTGTAAGTGGTATGTTAGCCTTTTTAGCGGTTTTGAAGGTGTCGACTGTCGAATTTTTAACCCGGAGCCTCTGAAGTTCAAATTCTAGTGGGATTTGTATGATATGAGCATTCCTGCCTTAGTCATATATTTTTGGAAAAATATATGCACAAGTCATCACAAAATAATAGACCATTTTTGTTATCTGTAACTAGCGATGCGCGACTACTAATGATTTTACCTTTCGACTAATTCGTAACTCCTAATTTGGCTATTCGAAAGGCAAATTAGTAGTATACTATTATTCGAATAAAGACTACTAATCAGTAATCATCATCATCATCATCAGCCTATTAATGTCCCCACTGCTGGGGCACAGGCCTTCCCTATGGATGGAATTGGGAGATTGGGCCATGACCCACCACGCGGGCCCAGTGCTAACGACTGCAGATGCAGCCGGGACCAACGGCTTAACGTGCCTTCTGAAGCACGGAGGAGCTCGAGATATTAATTTTTGGTCACCCATCCAATCACCGACCACTGCGAAAGTCGCTTACGTTCAACGATCGCAGCCGAACGCGCTAACCACTTGCGCCATCGAGCTCCTCAATCAAATCATCAAATCAGTAATACTAATGTCAAATTTACAAGAGCGCAACGAATAAGGTTAGATTATTCATTCGTTCGTTCATCATTTGCCTTAGTTCAGAGTTTCCGTACGTTCGTACTTGGCGCCTGCTATGATAGTCTTGTATGTGTTATTAATTATTATTTTTGCAGTGAAAACTGTATTTGTTCTCTTTATCGCGTCCGTCAGTCGAGAGTCCGTTAGACACCGCCCGATACCTACGATTCCAGTCGAATGATATAAAGCGCAGTCGACTTGGTCGAATGATTCGTGGAGTCGAATGATTAGTATCTCTTATCTATTAGACAAGTACGTCCGTCCGTCCGTCCATCTGTCTGTGGTGCTGTTTCAGCGGCCAAACCGTAAGAGATAGATAAAGAGAATATTTAAGTTATAAGTTAAGAATAGTCTGATAAGACTACAAACCGGATTTGAGTAACGTAGCACTTCCGGTTTTCGAGAAATCACGTGATTTCTATTTTGTAATTATCACAATTTTAATTAACTATTTAAAGGTTAATTTTTTTTTTAACTAAATAATTTCAAACGAAACCACACAAAATCTCCGAAGTTCTCAATTAATTAAATACATTTTTTGAATCAGGTTTTGGTGAACATTTGGTTCACTGGTTTGCTAGTTAGTATTATTCGAAGTAGCGCATCACTATCTGTAACTAGTAATGTACCCATACGACTCGGTACACAAAACGCACGATAAATCGATTCAAGCTTGTATGAGCATTTCATCATGTATTGTAAAGTGCATTGGATTTAAGTTATGATTAGAAAATTTATTATTATATAGGTAACTAGCTGACCCAGCGAACTTCGTACCGCCCTAAAAAAATAGGGGTTGTCCAGCGGACATAATTGTGAATCTAAACTATTCTCAGATCCCCTTGAACACACACAAAAAATTTCATCAAAATCGGTCCACTCGTTTAAGAGAAGTTCAGTGACATACACACTCACAGAAGAATTATATATATAAAGATTTGGAATTGTGTTATAAAAAATTTAGTTGCCACAACAATCACAAAAAATATCAAGAAAGCGAAATGGATTGAATCTTAAATCAACAATTTACTTCCGATGATGAGCCATAATCGTCAGATAAGCTATCGTCGCATGTATATATAATTGTTTCATTTATCAATATTGTAAATAATTTGTTTATTTGCTTTAAAACACGGTATTATGAGTTGGTACAAAATCAATAATATGCTCATATTTTGCCATATAAGTCTAGCATGGAAATACAAATTGAATACTAATAAAATTATAATATAAAAATAATGTTGAATTTGACGACCTCCGCGGTCCAGTGGTTTGTACGCCGGATTTCATGGTGTCGCCGACTCGAGAGGTCCCGGGTTCAAATCCCGGTGAGGGCAGATGTTTGTGTGATGAATACGAGGATTTGTGCTCCAGTCATGGATGTTTAATAAGTATTTCTATTTAAATATACTTATATATGTACAGTATATGTATTCTATCCGTTACCCCTAGCATCCCATAACACAAGCCTTACAGTGCTTACTTTGGGGCTGTGCTAATTGGTGTGTGTTAAAAAAATGTGTCAATAAGATAAAATACAATAACCATTTCAAAATATGTCAAATAATGTTATATTATATAATTTGAGCATTATCAATGGAATAAAATAGAATCAAATAAAAACAATTAATTGGAATAATATCATAGTTGTTTGTTTAAGAAAGAACCTATATCATAAAAATTGTGCTCTACACACTTATACAGTTTGTGTTTAAAAATATTGATATCAAGCATTTTTATATCTTTAGGAATCTTTATATATATAATTCTTCTGTGAGTGTGTATGTCACTGAACTTCTCTTAAACGACTGGACCGATTTTGATGAAATTTTTTGTGTGTGTTCAAAGGGTTCAAAGGGAAATGGTTTAGATTCACAATTTTGTCCGCTGGACAACCCCTATTTTTTAGGGCGGTACGAAGTTCGCTGGGTCAGCTAGTTTTATTATAAATTCTGACACACATGCAAAGACAACTTTTTGCATACTTATCAGACCTTGGAGTATCAATAAAATTTAACCTGTGAGGATCTCTTGATCTAAAGTTGTTTTGTGCATGATGCTCTACTCGCATTCGAGTATAAAAGTACAAAAGGATATCAAGAAGAAATAGACGCAAATAAATTCACAGAGTAGTTTACTAGAGTCTGTGCGGAAAGGCGTGGCGAAAAACGGGACTAACATTAAAAAAAATATTTGGCAATCAAAACCGGCTGTATAACTTTTAAGATTTGTATTGATACAGATTTGTTTCTTGTTGTGATTTCTTTTCGGTTTTTTGTATTTAATCACGTCCAGAAGGAGTAAAACCTTACAAATACGGTAGAAAATCACTACAGCGCCCTCCAATCTAAATCTCAATCTCTTTCCGCACAGACTCTAACTTGCTAACAAACCTCCCCAAACAGTGCATAATTATTGTGGAGAATGCACCTCTCTGTGCAAATAGATAATGCAACAACTCAAGTATGATAATGCAGCAAGCAAGCATAAAAGCTGATTTAATGGCATGGCTAAAAAGACAAGAAGTTGGAGCTAATAAGTATTTATTTAAACTACATTGTTGTTTGTGTAGATAAGTAATATTAATTGCATTGAGATAGATTATCCATATATAAAATTTTAAAATGTGTTGCACGGCATAGCTATACAAACACATACCAAAATAAGTTTGCGATCGCTTTGAAAATTTGTTTTTTTTTGTGTTACAGAAGATTTTTTTGTCTTTCTTTTTCTGATAAGATTCTAAATTTTTAAAATAAGAATTAGAACGCAAAACAATAAAATAATTCAATTGTTTTTTCATAGAAAAAGAGATGCAATCCAAGCGGACACTAATTCAGAAATCTGAATTAGTCAATATTATCGAATGTAAAATATTTTTGCACGGTAAGCTGTGATTTAAAAAATACCACGAGGGTTATCGGATGACGACCCCGAATTGTAACTTTGAGTTAAAAAGGTATTCTACGAGAGAAATAGCACGCAGAGTTGCTATATCCCAATCCTGTGTAGTAACCACGTTGCAGAGATACCACGGCATGGGTAATTTAGCTGATCGACCCCGCAGCGGTCGTCCAACTGTTCTGACAGCTGCTCAGAAGCGCTACATCAGGTTGCTGGTAGCCCGCGACCTAACAATAAACGCCAAAAAATGAAAAGCAGAAATACGGGCCGCCTCCGGACTTAAAGTTAGCACTCAGACCATTCGGGATTGCTTACACAAGGCTGGATTACGAGCACGGAGGTCACGGCGAGCACCTTTGAATTCACGGAAACGTCAGTGACGGAGATTACAGTGGGCTAGACTCCGGCAAAACGAAGAAGACGAAGAGGAAAACATTTGGCAAAACTACCTTTTCGTTGTCGAATCGCGAATCAGTACTCATCCTGATAACCGATGTGTCCGTGTGTGGAGAAGACCTGGAGACTCTGAAAGGCAAAGAACGGCTACTACAACTGTTCAGCAAGGTGGGAAATCAGTGTCCTTTTGGGGTGGTATTATGATTGGGGCTAGAACGCCTTTAATCCCTTATCAAGGCTTCATGACGGCAGACAGATACAAAACAGTCGTTATTGATGTAATCGCCAGACAGTTAGACCTGCCAGACCGAGTAAACCATGGGCACCAATTTGTAGTGGTTGACGATGATGCGCCCGCACATCGAGCTCAATGAGTCAATGCTGCTCTCCGAGAATACGAAATTACAGGCTTAGACTGGCCTGTCAGCTCTCCTGACTTAAACCCAATAGAGCACGCGTGGGATGCCCTTAAGCGAGCTGTTTGGAATCGGCAGCCACCACCCCAGACAGTGCCGCAGCTCAGGGAAGCTGCTGTTCAAGACAGGGACAGGTTACCACAAGAAATGCTGGATAACTTGATCCTCAGTATGCCCAGGAGGATCTCCGCATGTGTTCGAGCCAGAGGAGGAGTTATTTTGTATTAGATAAACAACAATCTATCTATATATATAAAACTCAAAGGTCAAAGACTGACTGACTGACATAGTGATCTATCAACACACAGCCCAAACCACTGGACGGATCGGGCTGAAATTTGGCATGCAGGTAGATGTTATGACGTAGGCATCCGCTAAGAAAGGATTTTTATCAATTCTGCCACCAAGGGGATAAAATAGGGAATGAACGTTTGTATGAAACTATGTCAATTTTAAACCGATCGGGCTGAGACTTTGCATGCAGGTATAAGAAGAATCATAGATGAATGTCATTGTGTATAATACAAGCCTGAGAACAAAAACTGTAGTCTGCACTTCAGCTTTACACCGAAGCGAAGCGAGGGCGGGCCGCTAGTTTATTAATAAAAAGTTTTTAAGTTTGGTTAAAATATATTTTTATTTCTTTCAAAGTTCTATTACAATCACCTTAGGATTGAATTATTAAATTTGTTATACTAAAATATAATATAATTAGTTTTATTTTTAAATTTCAGCAAGTGTATATAAAAAAATAAGATATAACGTAAACATTTTCCCTCGATTAAGTTAAATTTTGAAAATATATCAGTTTTTGCCAGTGATCTTTTTCTTTTTTTGATGTGTGTATATTCTTTTAAACTATTTTTTAAGTGGTGTCTTTGGCGATTTCCTATTTTTGTTCTTTATTTTCTTCTCTGTTCCTGGATATAATGCTTAAAGTTATTAATATTTATGACTCAAATGTTAATGAGTCAAAACTATGTTTATTGACCTTTTATATACTGAATCGATATCTTTTTAAGAGATTCTGATGACCTGATATACAAGTATTTTTGAAAATATACTTCTTTAGGCGTGTTATGAAAAAATGATGAGAGTGAAATTTTTAGATGCGCGCGCATCACTGTAACCCAAAAGTAACAGCATGAAGTTGGCCGCGGGCGCGTTATGAAAAAATCATGTGAGTGAAATTTCGAGATGCGCGCGCATCACTGTAACACAATAGTAACACCATGAAGTTGGCCGCGGGCGCGTTATGAATGTTAGTGTCTAATAATGGTGGATTATTAACCACTAAGTGGTTCTGTTGGTTTTCGAACAGTTACATTCTGTATCTGTTCGAAAGGTACTTTGAACGATCCACGGAGCTCCATAAGATGATCGCGTTGTCAAAAACAATGTTGGCACGCTCGTCGCCTCTGATCACTGTTTTCATATTTATAATATTTATCCACATGTTTCTATTTTCTATATAGACACAACGTGTTTTAGTTACTTACAAGTGCTAATTACATATGGACTAATAACTTAAATTCAGTAGTGATTTTAATTGAATATTTTGAATATTTATTTAATTTTTCAAATTAAAACTGAACTTAATTGACTGTGTTAACTATCCTTTTCCAGTCCTTTTATTATTATATTGTAATTATTAATTATTTGCATGCAATTAAAATATATTTTTAATGATGCTAAAGAAGTATAACTTCTCACGCTCGTACATAAGTTACACGCATCCATTTTTTATGCTTAGTTTAGGCGTCAGTCTCTCACAAAGTCCTACATTGTTACTTATATAACTACCTTAAGTTAATAATACAATAAGTGTTTAAAATGTTTTTGTAAATGGAGGAGAGATAAATAAGAAAATTTTCTCAAATTGTTTTTTTTTACTAACTTTTGGCTTTTTACTAATTTTAAGTAATATTGCAAGTAATCAGCTTAAAGATATTTACTAAAACGAACATCTAGATGTTAACTTACGCACAGTGATGCTTTATGCAGTGATAATATAGACTTTATAATTTTAAAACCCTAATTTTGAAAAAACCAAATGCCGAGACGAATTCTTTAGTGAATAAGGGCACTATAAATTCAAAGAATAAGAAAATATAGTTCTTAATGATTATTATTATAATAAATAACAATATAAAGTCAATTAATTCTACAAAAATCTTTTAAAAAATTCTGTCAAATTGCGGTATAATAATATAATAAAAATTATATATTTAATTGTTTTAAACTGGAAATAAAAAGTTTCCGGAACCATATTGTATACACTGATCATAATTTAATACGATTTTATAAAATTTTAATTCTTTGTCCCTAAATTACGGATTCGATAAATTTTATGACAAACTGCACGTAACTCTAATGACAATGAAGATATGTCGGATTTTGAATAAGAAACTTAATGGACGCATGTCGAAATGGGCCTATTATTTTGTTATGTCTGTATGTACGTATCATTAAATCAACTTTTATCCCTTACCTACTTTTGGGGTTAGGCTGATTGATAAAAATGCTAAAAATATTTTTTACATACACCACCACAAAAAACATATTATTATTTATAATTTTTATTATTTTAAAGCATGTAACTGCTTGATGTTTAAATCTAAAGAAAATATAACTAGAAAAAAATCCACGCGGGCCAGGCAGCAGACGGGACTCGAACCCGTACCCTTCGCAATCCGGGCGAATGCACTGACCAATTATGCTACCACGGCCCTCACGGACCGCGTCGAAATTCTTCTAGCCATTCTTAAGCTGCAAAGCAGCGCCATCTCTTCGCATTATAGGTAACCTACAATGTCAAATGAATACTTTTACAAGTATTAAACATTTGAAAGAAGAAATAGCAATTATAGTTATAATTTTTATTATTTTAAAGCATGTAACTGCTTGATGTTTTAATCTAAAGAAAATATAACTAGAAAAATATCCACGCGGGCCAGGCAGCAAACGGGACTCGAACCCGCACCCATCGCAATCCGGCGAATGCACTGACCAATTATGCTACCGCAGCCCTCACGGACCGCGTCGAAATTCTTCTAGCCATTCTTAAGCTGCAAGGGAGCGCCATTTCTTTGCATTATAGGTAACCCAAATTTTTTTCTAGTTATATTTTCTTTATATTATTATTTGTTCTTTGTCATTAAAAAATAGACTCTAGGTCTTTTAGACCTCATCAACAAGAATCAGTGATTCAGTGGGAAGCTCGCTAGCCACGCAGCCGGTTCGGGTTCGATACTCAGACGAGCAATGGCTTTTTGCCACTTTTTATAAGCCGCAGTGATATTAACTTTAAATAATTTTCCAAAAGTTTTCAATTAAATGCCTATAATCCAAAAAAAAATGCGATTTAAAACACTTTCAAGTTTCACTGGCCCAATCTCCCTATTCCATCCATAGGGAAGGCCTGTGCCCCAGCAGTGGGGACAGTAATAGGACAGCTGATGATGATGATGACAAAGTTTCACTTGCATCGTGTTATTTAGTATTTAATTTATCATGACTAAAATAATTTCATTTAAATCTTATTAGGTATACTGTACATTAAATATGACTTTTTGATATAATTACAATTTGATATAACTTAAAATAATTTTAAAATTTACTAGAACGATAATATTTGTTGCTTTGCAAACCTAATAAGAGGTATAAGACAAAACTCTCGTTCAAATTTAATTGAACAGTACCCTTAGTACGAGTTTGAGCTCACGAAAACTATCATAGTTTTCGTAATTGCAAATTATGTTTCTTTGTCCATTTTGGTGAAAATTAACCAAATATAGGAACTTAAAATTTAAGAAGACGCAAATGATTTTATGACAGAATTTAAACACTGTTTATTTGTATTGAAACGAAAACAATAAAATCAGTTCCCTTAGTAAGAGTGCGAGCTCACGAAAGCTATCATAGTTTTCGTAATTGTAAAACTCGTACTAAGGGTACAGTATTCTAGAACTCTTATACAATAAAGTCCCAAGCAATATCCAAGAGTTAAGCATAAATAAATTCAAAGATAGTATAAAAAAAGCACTTATTAAAAAAGCTTATTACAAAGTGTCTGATTATATTACAGACAAAAATGCTTGGGTTTGAACTGTTCCAATCATTCCAACAGTTATTCTATAATAAATAAATCATGATAGTATTGACGTTGTAACAACATAATGATTTGTAAATGTTGTTACATTATTCTTTTAATGTTGTGGAGTTTTTTTCGCTCGTTTTTCTCCGCAGCTAAAAAATATGTCCAATAACGAGTGGTAGGGAAAAAAATGTTTGGACGATTCAAAAGTGTTGTACTATACATCCAATTTGAATAAAGATATATTGATTTCTGATTTCCAGAAGACTTACCCCGATCAAGCATAATACTATGTGCTGCGCGGTCGCGCCCAATGGAAGTCCATTGCGCAGGGAATACACAATTGAAACTCCAACCACAAATCCTATGAGCACGTGGACGACAAGAGTCGATAGAGACCTGGAGGTCTTCAGTACCACCTGGTCCTTAGGTGTGGTAAACTGCTGGTCTTTTGACCCATTCTGCAGGTTTCCTGCGACGACGTTCACTTCGTTGGCATTAGGATTCATTTTTCTCAAATCCTTCACTATTAATTACGATACGTTTTGTACCTTTTCACTAATGCCTTTTATTTTACTATTAGATATTATATAATTTCTTTAAGAAATTCGAGCTGGTACAAGCGTACGATTTCAATTAGCTGTGTCAGATATTTTTTCGAATATACAAATAAAAGAAATTTTATAGTAAAATGATCTAAGACAAGCGTTATGATTTCAATTCGATCTCATATATTTTTTCAAGTCACTGTTGCTCTGTTTTTCAAAATGGCCACATCGTCAGCTTTTCTTCTCGTTATATATAAAGAGATAACATACAACACCAATAACGATTCTAGGGGATTATTCTTATCACAACAAGATTGCAGAGCTAATGAGCAACACAGTGCATCAGATTAGATTCTGTTCAAGAAATTCGAGACTAGCACGAGTGCCTGTAACAACTTAGGCTGATTAAACGATACTGAAGTTACAGATTTTGTATCAATGAACAAAACAATTTTGTGATAAAGGAAGACAGCACATAAATATAACAAGTAAAACTGCAGTTATGACCAATTTCATCTAAAACCAAGTGTAAACAGCTCTCAATTATCTATATATATAAAACTCAAAGGTGACTGACTGACATAGTGATCTATCAACGCACAGCCCAAACCACTGGACGGATCGGGCTGATTCAGGTAGATGTTATGACGTAGGCATCCGCTTAGAAAGGATTTTGATCAATTCTACCCCCAAGGGAATAAAATAGGGAATGAAAGTTTGTATGAAACTTTGTCAATTTTAAACCGATCGGGCTGAGACTTTGCATGCAGGTATAAGAAGAATCATAGATGAATGTCATGTGTATAATACAAGCCTGAGAACAAAAACTGTAGTCTACACTTCAGCTCTACACTGAAGCGAAGCGAGGGCGGGCCGCTAGTGTTACTATAAAGGTGAACGAACGCAATAAACTTGCATATCAGTGATAGATATTTGTCATCATTCTTCAATCTAAATATTTTTTATGACCCAAAATATGGTTTTAAAGCATTTTTATTCTTCTGTTTATGCGAAATTGTGCTAACCGAAATGGTTCGTAGACATTTGCACAAGATAAATATATTGAAAGGCAAAACATACGAGTATGAATATGGCACAGATTTTCTTTGTACGATTTTTTTATATGGGAGCTTATAAACAAAGCTTAAGTGTCGCCGCACACGGGCCACACGCCACAGCCACAAACGCCGCCACGAGAAGCTAGAAGCGGCTACTAAAGTGGCTGAAGCACGCGACAGCGGCCGACTAAGGTAAGGGAGAGAGGGGTGGGGAATCGCGAGTGTGGCGGCGTTTTGTATCGGCGCATTAAGTGGCCGGTGCGAGCCACAAGAAGCGAGCAAAGACGATTTGTAGCGTGTGGCCGCCACCGGCGTACCGTGTGTGGCGAGTCCATATAAAATGTATGAAAACTACAAGCAATATGCCGATGGCAGCGTTTTTTGGTTGTGGTCGGTGGCCCGTTTGCGGCGACACTAATATCATACATCCAAAGACAATCAAATACCTAGTACCGTTGACGTTACTGAGACTCATATTGTTTGCTGTCTTTCCGTTAAGACAACGTAGAGAGAAAATAATGAATAATGTAATTGAGACTCCATTACATTAGAAAACCGGCTTAATAGCTCTATTCAGTTTGCCAACTTCTGGCACTGAATGTTTGTAAGTAAACTGTATAATATGATCGTGAATCACGCAGCTTAGGTATATTCAATATAAAGGTAGATTCATGTCAGTTAAAACCTTAGATTAAAACAAAAAGGGTAGATACGGTACGCCCATACTTGCATCAAACAAAAACTGATCCCACGGCAGCGCGAACGGGACGGCGAGATCCGCGTCACTGCATTACCGACCCGAGCGAAACAGCACGTTAAGTTTCAACGGCAGCGCGAACGAGACGGCGAGATCCGCGTCACTGCACTACCGACCAATCACGCGACCAGTACTCGACGTCACTACCGAATAAGATTCAAAACAAACAGCAATTTTTATGAAAAATTATATTGTATAGTACTTACGAATCAAAAGTGATGCCGTGGGTTTTATTTTTAGTTCTTGAGCAATTTGAGCACTTTTTAAAAACAAACTTAGGCATTGTTTTATCATAAAAACACAAAATATTATCAATATTTCTTTTTGGCGTTCACATGTACGTCATTTACATGTCAAGTTGTGACTAAAGCGATTAGGGTCGTGGACCACAATTTGTGCGGATCACTTTTGTGAGACTAGTGCCGTATCTACCCTTTTTGTTTTAATCTAAGGTTAAAACCAATAATTATTGTTTTTCATAGAGGTAAAATATATTTTTTCAGCAAATTATTAATTGTTGTGATTTAAATATCAACATAGAATACTTTCTGCATTTATATAGCAATTTAGAACGCAATTTTTACGATTCCGATTAAAAGCTGTTTCAGTTCCTTTGTGTTCGTTTTTGCTGAATGCGTGTCTTTCCACATATAGACGACACCATGAAAGCCATACATGGAGATCGCGAGATCGATTTCTACAAAAGAATATGGCAGATTTAGAAGCATGTCTTCTTTAATGTCAAATTTTAAGACACCTACATCATACTTAAAGATGTCTTCTGATAATGCTACGTGTTTGGAGCAATCAACGGGCTATCGGAACTATATCAGTTGCACATAATATAATACCTGAATACGTGATTGATAACACACTCGTATAAGATAGCGGATCTTTGACAAAAATAGCAAAGTAATTGTATGCTATTTTAGTTATCTTTCAATTGAAATGCTGTGAGCCGAAACTTTATTGTAAACTAGCTAAAAGTGCTTGAGACTTGTGTTCATTTCGTTTCATCCTCTGCTTTACTCTCTTTATCTCTTACTGAAGCATAACTGTCTACTAAGTATCTACAAATAAAAGTTCCTCTTAATAGGTTCTGCTATTTTGCCATATCATTTTCTTATCTTCTTACTTTATATAAAACTTATAGCATTGTTATACTTTATTAATTCTATCTTATGGAGACTTTGGAAGCTGATTGCTATCAGGCGAAGTGATATACATACCATCAAATCAGATGCAATTTTTGTTTAGTTATAGTACATACTCGGACGCCGGTCATGTCGTCAGCACGTGATATCATTATTATCTAATACATGTCTGTCTGCTCACGATTAAGACTGGCCACTTTGTCTGATAAAAAGATAAGTATATATTATAAGTAAATATTCCTACTGATCCGCACTAGTATTTGGATTTTTTCCCATTTATCGCTAGACAAGAAGAGGAAAGTTTTGAAGGGTTTTTTCATACGATTAACTAAATGCTCCTGAATTACTTGTGATAGTAAAAATTTTTGACGAATCAAGAGAAATATAATTTAGCACTAACAGCATCGTTACCTTAGGCGCCTATTTAGAAAATAGATGAAAGATGGCACATTGAATCTCAAATATTTTAAGAGTTTAAAATGGATAAATCTATAAATTGTCAAAAAAATGGCTAAAAAATTATGGGGATATCTGTAGATATATATGAAACAGGAAAATTTGATCTCAATGTCAGTGTCTTATCACATGTAGTATAAATAATAAAAAGCAATCACAGCACTATAATCATTCAAGCTCATGATAGTATGAAATCAGTTCGATAACTTTACAAATACAGTGCCCGACGGGCATCTGAGACCTGGGCATATGATTGAATTAGGATTTCATAAGTCACTACGCTTGTTTCTTGACGATAACGGCACACCAATAATGAGTTCTATAAAGATACATACCTACCTTTACATCATAATATCCCTAGCGGTATTGAAAGAATATCAAAAGTGCAGCTTGAGTTAGTAAGTGAAATCATTCAAATAGCTTACGATCCTAAGTTCGAATCTCAGTAGCAGCATTTATTTCTGTGATTAACAAAAATACTCAACGGAGTGATGACCCCGTACAAAGACGTTTCTGAAATAGTGATTTCAGAAACGCTTTTGTTACTTGGCACTTTACAAAAAATTACTTCAAAAGTTTAAGTTAAAACTTTAAGTTAAAGTGTAAGTTTAAATTAATTACTCGCAGTATCATTTATCATGTAAGTGGGCATGGTAGAAGTAAAATTTTATGTACAACATGATAGATTTTTAAATCATGTCATTTAATTCTTTAAACTGATCCTGAGTGTATTTGTTCCCAAATAATTTTATTATATGATTAAATTATATGTACCTTACTTAGTTTCCGTGGGACAACTCTGCTAAGTTTAGGAGTAGTTGTGCATCATTTATAATAATATCTATATATTATAATTTTATCTATGGATTCTGGTTCTTGAAAAAACATTCGGGGAAAAAATCTTTATTTCAAATGAATATCCTCTTAAATCTAAATTTTTGCTAATAATTTTATGAAAACGGTGGCAGTGATAAATATTGTGTAGAAAACAACGAAGCATGTTAAAACAATGACTATAGTGTGATTGGCCCAGTCTTCAAAGCTATCAATGAAAAAACCAAGGCATATGCATACAGAAGACATGGCGAAAGTGGTCATTCCGATTCCTATGTGAAACAATTTACAATAGTGCCATCCGTACAGCGTACTTATACCACTGAGTAAGTTGGAGCAACCCATAACTGCTGAAGCTGTACCTGGAAATATAAAAAGGCTTTTATTAATCTTTACACTGCACAAGTTTATATATTCGTAGCTAAGCAACTTTTGTGTTGAATTGTCTTTGGATGGAAAACTAAAAACGATTTCTCCATGCTTTCAGGCATTCAGCATCTGCAATTGTTAGTGTCCACTAATCTATACGTGATATATTTGGTGGTTATGGTCCATTCTTTCTATGTGATAATATTGACAAGGAAGTCCTATGCTCTAACCTAATAGGCTGTTGATATTGCATAGCAGATAGAGAAACTCCATGTATTTGTTCTTGTTCTTCCTGATTTCAGGGTTTGTGAGAAGTAACTGAAATGTTTCAATCCAACTAGAGTGGCCATCTGAACAAATATGTATCTACGCCAAGAATATTTATATTGTAGAGTTATGCTCCTACGGTAATTACCAGAACCGGAGAACCAGGCTTAAGCCGGCTAGATATGAAAGGCTAATGTCACGTGTATATCTTACAAGTCAAATTATTTCATTATATCTGGAGTAATTTAAGAGATTGCAAATAAAATTGCCTCAACTGCCATGGATTCGACTGTACTGTTACAAGAGTTTTGACGTGTAAACATTGTCAATTTCTATAATGAAAATAAATATTATTACGCATCAGGATAGGTTTCGAAATTATATGTCAGTTCACGCTTGACAGTTTTTTCTTCATCACAGTTAACACACAATGTTAATTACAAAACACTCACTCAACACTGTATTTCACTATACAAGTCTCTAAACAATCGCACTTAAATACTTTTTTTGCACTTTGATCGCATTTGGATTCGCTCCGAAATCGCTGTTGAAACTCAACTATCTCTGCGCGGCGTTTTATACGCCAATAGACGCATTCTAGTAAAGTCCTGTTAAATTGAGAGTTAACTAGCACCCGCAAGTGCGTAGTACCTACTTATACATAGGTGACGCGCATAAGTTTTAAACAAGTGAAGATATCGTTGAACTTTCTCCCTTACACGCAGAGACAGAGAGCAGCACTACTCGACCTTTATCTCGATCATTCACGCTACCCGTCGTGTTGCGGTATGTCTCTCGTATTTTCCACGGTTTTTGTTTCGAGAGCGTTTGTGTAACACTGTCCCTCTCTTAGATATGCTCGTCTCGAGCATCATTGCTGCCGTGGTAAGTTACCAGGCGACCGATGTGGATTATCCTGGGCTTCTTTCTATCTCCCTGTCATATCCGATAGGTCACTTCGTTGATTTTCGTATTCACTCTATAGGGTCCTTTCCAGCGGGGCTGGAGCTTAGGGGACTTTCCGATCCTTTTCTGTGGGTTGTGCAACCACACGAGCTCTCTTTCCACGAAGGCTGGAGCGTCGGCATTCCGATCATAACTGCTTTTCATTTTCTCGCCAGATTTCAGATTATTTTTACGTATGTAGGTCCATGGGTAAACACATCTCTCTTCCGAACTTATTTTTCGATAGAGTAAACCCAGTGGTGTCATGTGCAGCGAACTACTACGCCACAAAAAGAGCGGAATGTAACGATCCCAGTCTCGTTGATGTTCTTCTACGACCTTTTCCAAATGATTTTCCAGAGTCTGGTTGAATCTCTCTACCATGCCGTCATATTGTAGGTGTGGCGGAGTCGTACGCGTCTTATTTATTCCAAGTAAATTGCATATCTCCTGGAATAAGTTTGATACAAAATTCCTTCCTTGATCACTGTATAATGCAAACGAAACGCCGAATCAGCACACTACTACTTCGACTTTTGGCTACGGTCTGAGCTTCCTGGTTTGGTGTAGCAAATGCTTCAGGCCATTTAGTGAAATAATCTTGCACCACCGAACATTCTCGTGGCGACCCGCGGTGTTCTGGTAAAATCTACCTCCCGTATTTTCGCGGTTTCTGTTTCAAGAAATAAATGACTTAATATGATGCCACATTAATTCATTCCATACCCAAGTTACCGTATACCTGTAATACTGTGAGCGGAGCGCGGTGGCGCAGAGAGGAGTATGACTACGGTCTGGCCAATGGCGATCGCCATACCGCAGATCTGCAGCAACACGTGGACGAGCCTGCGGTGCCGCAGCCGCATCGGGGTAGACCACCCGTTGGCGTAATTGAGGCTCAGGATTGCTTGGATCGAGAAGAAGTGATACTGAAAGGTCATACTATGAAATGATTATGCCAACTTTTATGGTTGAGTGAGCTTGCTACAGTCGGACCACGATAACTTTGCAGAGTGAACCAGAAAAACTTCATCTGGCAGCCCTTCAAGGACGTCATTCTTAAATGAAAAAAAGGCATGTAGGTAAGTAAGGTAAGGTACTTAGTTTATATGCAGGTGATCGTATAAGAATCGGAAATAATTTGTAGAGTTAATCATGTAAGAGAATGAAATGAAGCTGTGTATGAGATTAAGGGAGAGATATTGAAAATGTAGAAGAAGATGATGAGTTTCAAGGAGAAGATGTTGAAGAGGACATTTAATATGAAAGAAATTAAAGTTTTGGATTCTCAACTATATTTCAGTGATTAAGGGTAGATTCGACCAAACTTAAATTTATACACGAGTTACTATACCAGGAATAAACTATTCCATGATTTTAATCTCGAGTAAATCCATAGTCGTTTCTCCACGTAATCGATAGTATACTTGCGCTAGGAATAACAATACGCGAATAGCGGAGTGAATGGTGAACGTAAATAAAACCTGGCAAATAAATGTTGTTCTACAACGGGAAAGTGTAAGAGCATACTTAATGTCAACTCGATTTTGCCGTATTATAGTGTGAAAAAGTAACTGTAGAGTAAGCTAGCTAGCTGTCAAACGTGATAATTTTATTTGTTGTTTGTTTGAGGGATTTAATAGTTTGTTTGGGATTTTATAGTAGTAGCCTACCTACGTAGGCAGGCAGGCAGGCGCAAAAAAACTGCACAGGTATAAAGAATGTACACTTACCGGTCGGAAAAATATATTCTAAGTTACGTTCAATTTTCGATAGCAGAAACAAAGTGGCTTCTTTGCTCAAACGAAACCTCATCGCAAAATCATGGTCATCATAATATTCAATTAAGTCTTTTCTTTCTTTTAACCATCTTGGACGTCTAGGTATAATCCTCATCACTATCACTATCATCAATCAAATTGTTAAAACGTTGCATTATACAATGCGAGACTATTAGTTTAGTGCGTTGAGTTGATTTGAAAACACAGATTATATATTTGTTTCTTAGGTTTTCACGCACATCACTCATTAAATAAAACTAGTTTTTACGGGTTAATGCACGAAACTTTATTTATTTATTGACGTTTCGCAGCCTTTTCAGGTCTGCATCGTCAGAATAAAAAATCATTATTCCTGATATTTGTGAAATGACAGAAATCAGATGATTGGACTGACTGACGCCATTACATTATTCTAGGAATAGCTCCTTTATACCGTGCGAAGCGGCGGTATAGTAACAATTCCCGAATAGGCCCACTATTCTTAGAATTGTAGATGGTAAAACGTAAAATTAATTTACTCTCGATTAACTGACGATTTAAGATTAAGATTTACTCTTGTATGGTCGAATCCACCCTAACATGTTTCCGAGATCGATTATAATGAAAAAATCATCATAATCGATTTCGGAAGCATGTGCATGCAAACTCTGAACATATATTAAATACAGATTTTCATATTGCAATTTGGGTATATGATGTGCCATATGCACATTATTATAGAGGAGCTCGATGGCGCGGGTGGTTAGTGCGTTCGGCTGCGATCGTTGTAGTTAAGCAACTTTCGCAGTGGTCGGTCATTGGATGGGTGACCAAAAATTTCTATCTCGTGTTCCTCCGTGCTTCGGAAGGCACGTTAAGCCGTTGGTCCCGGTTGCATCTGCAATCGTTAGAACCCGCCAATCCGCACTGGGCCCGCGTGGTGGGTCATGGCCCAATCTCCCTATTCCATCCATAGGGAAGGCTTGTGCCCCAGCAGTGGGGACATAAAGAGGCTGATGATGATGATGATGCACATTATTTACCAAATTTTCACATTCTTAACTTGTTTCAATTTTAAGATAAGCCCCGTAGCAAAAATGGTATAAAAATTACAATTTTCACAGCTACCCTCTTCTATAGTCTACAGTGGTGACTTTGAGTGTTCACTGTGTAAACTGTGTAAATAATAAAGAATTGTCAAGTGTGAACTGGCATTGTTTTTTCGAATACCATCCCGACACGTAACAACTCATATCCTACTCAACGAGCTCTGGACTATGATGTATCGCATATAGAGGATTCGATCCCGGTCGATTTTTCTAATCCCAGAATTTCGGGATTATCTACAGTTAATCCCGGGATAGTCCCAGGATTGTATTGATAATAGAAAGTGGTAACAAAAAGACAGTTAACCATATCAAAATCAACTTTTTATTTTAAATCTTTTAAAAACAAAGCAAAATTATACTTTCATCTGATAAAATAAACAAACTAGGCACTTGTATAAACAATTTATGAAATAGTTTCATAAATTATTTACATTACGTTTAATCCCGAAAATTTCGGGGCTAAAACATGAGCGGGATCCCGGGATCGAATCCTCAAATCGCATATATAATTGAGACTTTCCTCCTTTTTTAAGTCGGTTGAATATAAAGTAGTAGTAGTTAATGAAACTTTAATCAGTACTGCCATGTGCATAGTTTTAATATTTGCTATTGTCAGTCCACTGCAGAGTTATCGTGGTCCGACTGCAACCGGTTGCATTGGAGTTGCCATCTCTTATTTGTTATGTATCTAATGTCTTATATATGACCTAGATAATCTAACGAATTTACACATCACATTGAGCATCATGTAGTGGTTGGTGTATCCTACTTATTAACATACTTAATTATATTTTATGAGTGAAAGTGACTGAGAAATGGCAGGCTTGTACATTGGGCGAACTATAATTGTTTCCTATACTTTTACCCTCATAAATTAATTAAACAAAATACTTTTTGAACGGGCATGACGACTGAAATCTCGTGATCTGAAAATTTTATAAACATCGTTTTTATAGTAGGTGGTCTATATTTTGATGCCTAAACCGCATTCATTTTAGGTCTTACTAATAAGTTTAATCAAAAATGGTGTCGATTCTGGCATATGATTCTCTGAACCTAAGCTAAAATGACAAATTTTGACCAAAATGTATCTTTGTCGTATTCTATAAATAATGAAAAAGACATAAAAGTAGAGACTGCTGTTTAATTTAGTTTTAAGTTTAGAGAATCATACCAGAATCGACACCAATCCTTCTTAATTATCTTAATTTAAGAAAATATTTCAAAATCCTTTTTGAATTATTACTCAGTAGAAATATTAAAATATACAACAAACAGACACTATGATAGGGAAGTGTCAATTGTAATTGCCGCGAAGATCTCGAAGCTTGAAGCTAGTGAAAAATATTTTCAAGCAAAGCAAATTTGCAAGATGAGCAAAGCCACAAAGCAAATTGCCTTATTAAAAAATCATCGTACCTTGTTCTACGTTTAAATATTATTAGTATTCATTCAGCATATAAATATGCCATCGTACACAGAAAAGGCAATATTTCCTCATTTAAATAACAAACTGTGTTTAACTCCATACTCAATAGTGCTCGCAACATTATTGTTCAATAGCCGGATCCACACCGAACGATCCAAAATGGATCGGCGATCCCGCGATCCGCGATCCAAGATCGTGATGCGTGGAGCGTGGATCGTTCTAGGTCGATCCAACAGCAATCTTTTGCGATCCTGACTGGCTGCTCCAACGCGCTCCTGCCGATCCATACTGAATCAGTTGAATTTTGTCTGGCTATGGAGTCACACGTGCAACGACGGCGACGAATAGCCGTAGCAGCTGCAAGCTACATTTTACTTGTATATTTACGGCAAAAATTACGAAAACGAAAAAGACAGTATTGGGTTAAAACAATTTTTAAAAACCGGTTGGAATATGGGACTCGACTTTACAAAGAGTTAATTGATGATGGAGCTGAAGCTAATTTTGCACGAATGACTGCAAATCAATTTGACTTATTGTGTTCACTATTGGAGAACAAAATAAGAAAGAATGATACAAACTATCGCGATGCCATAACTGTTAAGGAAAGACTACTAATAACATTGAGATTTTTAGCAAGTGGAGATTCTTACGTCAGTCTACAGTATCTTTTCAGAGTGTCCAAACAGTCAATATCAAAAATTGTTCCTGAGGTTTGTGAAGCAATCATCGACGTTTTGAATGATTATGTAAAAGTAAGTGAAATTATATATTTAAAAGATTAAACTCTTTATTTCAAACTTAGCTTATACTTAAGAATATATAAAAGTTACATGTTATATGTTAATTAAATTGGTGGTGATTGTGGTGACGGAGAAGGCTGCCAAGTTGTCGAAGTAGTAGAAGATGTTGATGGAAGCGGAGTTATTGTTGATTCTGAAGGTCGTTCTGTATGCAATGACGTTGATGGAAGCTGAGTTGTTGTTGATTCTGAAGGTCGTTCTGTATATGATGAAGTTGAAGAGTAATATCCATAATTTTCTGGTCTGTATCTGCCTGTGTCAGCTTCAAAAATAATTTGAGATATGGCATGTTTTACATAAGTTAACGTTATATGATCATATTTTCGTAGTTCGGTAGCTATGTATTGTCCAAAAGCGGTGTATGAATCTGTCTCTGATTGTTGTGGTTGAGCACATTGATGAAGTAGTTGAAATGCTTCCGAAATGGATTCATCTGTTATCATAATATCTTCGGAACCATGTGAAGATGTTTTTTTTCTTCTTTTATTTTGATTCCTTTTTTGGGTTTGAACATTGTGTTGGGTGTTTTGCACATTAGATTGGGCAGCAAGTTGTTCAGATGGTACAGAAGGTTCAGTTGGTATACTCTGATCATTCATATCTTGCATTTGATTATTAACATTCTCAGTTGTGTGATTGATAGCATGTTCTCCGCTACCAGTGGTGCTATTACTTTCTTCCTGTAACAACAACAATAACAAAACATATTAATCATAGTTACACTTTTTTCAGATGCCATCAAATGAAGAAGAGTGGCTCGCAGTGTCTCAGGAATTCGACGAAAAATGGAATTTTCCACATGTATTAGGAGCAATGGATGGTAAACAT